CCTGGCAGCGTTCTCTCAAGAGACACAGGTCACTTGAGAGGAGGAGATACTTGCTATTAACTGTTTGAAACTGTATTTAGTATGTATCAGAATACGTGCAGTAGCTATGTGGACGCATGTATTAAATTTGTAAAGTTTGTGTTGAGTCTGTCGTCCCCGCACAAGTTAATCAACAGGTGGAGCAGCAAACTAGAAATCCACTGAAGACTGAAACTGAGTGGTAAAGAAGTGAGGGAAAGCCCTTCTCTCTCTTACCTTCTTTCTTTTTTTTTACTTTTTTGTTTTTGTTTTTAATTGTAAGCTGCTGTTTTCTGTTTTTCCTCTACTTTTATTATCGTGCCCTATGTATAGCGTTTTGGGCTGTCATGGGGGTTGCTTGGATTGGCTTTGGCACTGGAAATTGCAACATCTGGAAGCTGCTCCTGCCTTGGGACAAAATACAATGCACAAGGATGGGTGGAGCAGAAAAAAACAACCAGTAACCTCAGCTCCCAACTGTCTTTTCACAAATCCACTCCCTAATACTTTGTATCCAGAATAAATAACTTATTTTCTGCACAAATAGATGTGCAGCTCCATGCAGGGAGCTGCACATTGGCATGCCAGTCTTCAAAAAGGATTTATAACCTGTAACATCTTGTCTTCTCTGGTTCAGTGAGCTGTCTACCTTTTCCTTCCTAATCTTGAGGGGTTGAGCAACCCATGTGCTGGGCTGTGCTGAAATTTCTGAACTCAGTAATATGGCGACACCACCTTCCTACCTCTCTGCTGGTTCTCTTTTGTCAGCGAGTCCATCATGTTCTGTCAGTTCATAGAGAACTTTCTACATCAGTTTAGCTAACAAAGCATTCCTTTTTTTTCTTTTTTTTCTACTGTTCAATATTTCACAGCTTTACATACTGGAGTTTTACCATCTTGCTGGACCAGCGTGGCTGGCTGAGCTTGGCTGAAGGCTAGCGTCATTGAAGCCTTGTAAGAAAAACATCCCACCACCTGCTGCCAAGAGGTGTGACTGCCAGCCTGTAGACCACAACCTCTTTGTAGTTTTGTGCTCTTTATTCAGGATGTGGATATGGCTTATTGTAGTTGAGAGGTCACTGGTCTGAATGTCTTGCCATTGATTGTTCTTCTGCATGCTGGCTCCTGTGAATTGGCAATGACAGGCAGCGGGATTCAGAAAGCTCTTCCACAAATGTGGTTGTTGCTGAGAGAAGACGTGTCTGCACCTTTAGCACTGAGTGAGATCATAGGAAAAGGAGAGCACGCTCCTCCAGTCTCATGAAGAGTTGCACAAGATTCCTTTGACAAATAGGATCATTGGAAGTTTAATAGAATAGCTGAAATTCACAGTGATATTCATCTTGTGAACAAATGCATGTGCCATGGGCAGATCTTTGACTATGCTGATTGTAACTAGAATTTGTTCTGACTTAAAATACCTCTGCTGCTGTCTACGGTAGATGTAAACCTGCAATTTGCCACACCTCTCCTTCCAGAAGCCCGTCTTGGGGACTAATAAATTCCTCTCCCTTGAAGCAGAGGAAAACGGCATGTGATGACACCGGTTTTAGGTTCTTCTGTGGATAGCTTCTTGTTTCAAGATGCTTTAGGTGAGGAATTTTTTTGTTTCTTTCCACTGCCCAGGTTTTAGACCTTGACTGATAAACCTCTTAAGTTATGCACTACGAAACAATCTGAAGAAAATAAAAATCCATGTTTCACAATTGTACAGTGTAATGCTTCCCCAAATCCAGCCATTTAACTTGGTGACTTGTGGATGTTGATTGTTTCTGTTTTCCTTGACCTTTGCACCTGTACGGGGCTCTGCCCTGCTCATCAGGATGCTGCCTATAGACCCTGCTGTTGGCTGGACCTTCTCCCTTGGTCTCTGACTAATAAGTGATAAATGTGAGCCTTGTTGTACTGCCTGACAGAGGTAAATTAAGTTAATGTAGTAATAAAATGGTTATTAATATTACTGGACATTGATAAGTCAAGAAGATACTTAGATTTTAATTCTGCTGCCTCTGCTTGATGGAATCTTATGTCAAAGAGGAGAGAAATAGCGTTTGGGTTCTTAGCCCATTCCTAAAGCAATTTATACTGGTTTTGTGCATCTGAGTCTGAGCAAGCTCAGTTGTGATCCTGTGTTCTTTGTTTCTTTTTACATGATCCTAAACTAAGCACTCTTAGAAACTCCAGATGCATTTTTATATCATTTCTGTAATTCCAGTTTTGAGGTCTAATAATAAACATATGGAGTAATGATCTATATGATTTGTAAGGGCTCATAGGCTGTCTTATTTTATTCCTGTTCTGTCTTTAATTAAAAAAATAGTAATAAAGATGGTACTGTATAGGAAAAGGACTTGACATTTATGAACAAAGGTCTCCTGCAGCTGTAAAATGCTGTGCAATGTTGATCTTTATTGTAGCATTCCTATATTTATTCTCCAGATCAAAACCCACAGTTTATGGAATGCTGTAATTTAGGAAAACAGTCGCTATATAACTTTAAAAATTCCTTTCAAGTTGAGACATAACATTCACTTTTACTAGCTTCTAAATCAAAGAAACGTTTAAAATTAAAAAAAAAAATGCACCTTATCTGTTGAATATTTGTTGATTAAATCAAATAATTGTCACTGAGGTGGGTGGATGCAGGTGTTCAGGTAAAGGCATTCTGCAGTTAAGGGTGGATGAGACGATCATTTCACTTAGTTTCTGGTTTTTGGTTTTGTTCATGTTCTTGCTCTCATGCTTTGAGTTTGTTATGTATTTTTGTTTATAGTAAAACAAAAAGAGGAAACTTTTTTTTTTCTGCTGTGCTGACTTAGAACAAGCTCATGGTTGTTCAGACTACAGAGGGTGTTTATTTTAATGTTGATATATTTCCGAGGGGTGGGGTGGGGAGAGGAAGGAGCTTAGAATAATTTTGTTCACAGACTTTGAAATAAAATGAGTTTATCTGCCCTGGCAGAGTCTTTTTCCCTTTTTTTAAGAGAGATAAATACTAGTCTTTCACTGAAAGAAAATATTATATGTGGATATATGTGGCTATAAATATCATGCATATATTATGTCCATAATATGTTGTGAGATTTCCCTTGTAGCACAGCCTTAGCATTGAAAAACATTTGTCTGCTTTTCAAACTTTGAGACTTAGTTTCCAAATCTTGTTGAGTAGAAATAAATATTTCTATACTTGTATTTGGCTTTTCCTGTTTATTTATCTGCTGACCATTTTCTTGGAAACTTTAAGTAATAGAGCAAATGACTGTGTCTTTGGCAAAGAGAATCTGGACACAAATCGCTGAACTTGCAGATACTGAGTTAAGTGAAGGCAAAAGGTTGTTTGTGTTTTCCCCTCTAGCATAGACTCTGAGGACTACATGGGGATTTTGGTGATCTCTAAATTATTTGCATTTTCTGACCTCTAATAATGCTAGCTTTTCAAATAATTTATAAAGATAATATTTTTCATGGTTTTTGAAATCATGGCATAGGACTGCAGAGTGTTAGAGATGCTTTAGCTGTTGTGATGGAGGTGTGGGATTGCTGCTTGGATTAGAATGATATTTTATTACATGTTTTCAAATTCAGCCTTAGTGTAGATGATCTGACAAGATCCTTGAATGCCAATAGGGTTGGGGTTTTTTTCTGTATTAAATGTAAGCAGTTATGCCATAAAATGCAAATTCAGAATTGTGGTGGTTTGTTTTTTTTTTTTTTTTTAAAAAAGGGAAGTACTGATTACAGACTGTTATTTGTCTGAATGCCTCATGTCTTTTTGAAAATAACTGAGGGCTCTTTCTTACTTAAGATGATAAGAATAGAGGAGATGAGGTAGTACACTACCTGAACTGTTCTGTTTCCAAGTAAATTAGAATTTCAGTTCATTTAAAAAAAATAATTTACATGCTTAATCTATTCAAATGTTTCCAAATGAATTACTGTGCTTCTAACGGATATGTAGTACTTCATTAGTAAAGATTACCATGTTTGTAAGACCTGATTTGCTGAGAAACCATGTTAGTGCTGGGGGTGACAAGTAGTTATACATGGTCATCTTCTTTGCTCATCAGGAACAGGGCAAAACTCAAAAGAGAAGATGTCCAGGCTCAACGTGGTGTAGGCTCAACATAGTCAACCATGACCGTGGTGCAGAGCCAGCAACAGCTCTGGTTTTGCAGGCAGAAGACAAGAGACTTGCCATGGCCCAGGGTCAAGGGGTTACTTGAGGAAGAGGTGGTAGCAGCCTTTGAGCAGAGCCTGTGTAGGTTGTGACACCTTTTGACTTCATGCTCTTCTCAAGAAGAAACTTTTGGGTGCTTACAGGGTGTTTACTCATAGGCAGTGGTTTTCAGTTTCCTCTGAAACAGTTGCAGTTCTAGGGTTGGTGCTTCTGTGACCATTGTCCATCAGGTGAATCTTCTGGATGCTGCTATGAGTGACAAATGTGTTACATTTCTGGAACATGTAGATTAAAGTATTAGAATAACTTTCAGTTTCACCAAATGCAGTTTATGCAGTATCCTGAAGGCCAAAATCCTTAAAGCTTTTCTCTCCAAAGCATAGTTTGCTATGTGATGTTGCCAAATAACTTGCATCCAAAAGTTGGTAGGACTTTGGCGCAATGTAGATGGTGTTGTTGACTTCTACCCCATAGCTTTAGGAAATCAAAGACCGGTTAGATAAAGCACTGATAAATACTGATGTCAGAGATTGAAGAGTTAAAATCTGACTGGAATTTGTAGTGGATTTAATGAAATTAATGGTTTTTCAGAAGAGTTGTTTCATGGAGTAACAAATTAAAGCAATACATCAGAAAGCCATCTTGAATCTTCTTACCTTTACTGTGAGCATTAAGAATTAGGTACTCAGAACAATCATCATTAATGTTATTGGCTAGAAGATCTATGGGGATTTTTTACTGTTAACCCAGCACAAAAGTGCTTATTTGGTTGTAATTTCAATGGTGTGTTTTTCTTTTTCCCTAGGTGGCTATTTTTAATGTGGTAGTGTCATTAGCTGGCTGAAGAGTAAACATGAGAATAGCAGGTAAGTATGCTCAGTAAAATCAGACTTTTGCCATTTGTGAATAAAGTGCTATGGGCAACATTAACAAGTTGTAACAATAAGGTTTTAAAATAAACTTAACTGGCATAACAGGCGTTGCTGTTCCATTTAAATGAGGTTTAATGAAAGTAATTTTGGAATTTGGGATGGTCTAAGAGCAAGCAGCTGGTTTAAATGCTTCAGCTGATCTTCAGTGACTGGTTAAGGTGCTATGACTTGATATACTTTGGCTGCTAATTCTGTAAGATGATAAAGGAATAAGGTAATGACCGATTCATTTCTTCCCTGCCTCATATCCCAACCAAATGTGCCAGGCACTATTATAATATAGTGTTTGAAACTTCCTGAATGGTTAGTGAGAGTTTGAAAGCTATAAAAGCCATTTCATAGAGGTAAGTTACTGTAGTACACTGTTTGAGAAATTGATTTTACTTGATAGAAGGTGTAGTGGTTGTAAAAATAGGATCTTTGCCAATATAACACTAAAATAAAATATCATTTTAGAGATTTCCTTACAATGAAATGAAACAGTTTTGAGTTTCTGATGCATTGCACTTTTGTCAAAAGTTGTAGTGCTGTGTTGCAGAAGGAGCAAATGTTGGCTCTTCTAGTAGAGAATGACACCTTCTTTTCCAGGAGAGTTATACATTAACCTGCTTAATGCATGAAACTAATCCTGGTTTTTGTCACTGCTTCTACAGTTGTTTTATTAAACTCAATATGTGTGACTGGGAGCAACCTGTTAAAGCAATTCTGATAAAGAACTTGAAAATCCTGCAATTTTTAGAAGGTGGTTAAATTGCCTGTAAAATTACTTCTCAAAATATTTTTTTTTTTCTTCCATCTAACTATTTTTGTTGCTATAACCTACAGACAAAGAAGATATGGCTGTTTTCTATAGAATGCTTAACCTGTAGCAAACAGATTGGCTTTGGTTCAAGGGCTAAAATAATTTTCTAGGAGATTTCTTACCTCTCCCTTAGAGGGAGTACTTGCAGTTCAGTTGAAAGGCTTAGGATAGAGGGTGGAGGGGATGTTTAGTGCTCATACTGAGTCCTTGTTCATATCACCTATTAGGTACTGAAATAACATGCTCTGCAAGTGCCACTTGGTAGATGAGACATTCCAAAATCTGGTACCATTCTTTTTAAACAGTATTGCTCTGAAAACCTTTTATCCGCTTCTTAATGTATGATAAGACCATCTGTTTCCTGCAGTCCTTCTTTGTGGTTCACTCCCTGCAATTGCAATAATCTTTGGAGTTCCAGCATAATATTTTTAAATTAAGTTTGCATCTGTGTTTTCTTACATAGTATGTACGTGCTCACACACACACACAAAGGGAGAGTGGGAGAGGAAGAACAAACTACCAGATATAAAAACGAATCTCTCCATCTTTCTCTTCTTTTTTATCCTCTCATCTTTTTTTTTAGTCTGTTGGAAGGATTGATTACCATCTCCCATCCTTCTGAAGGCTGAGTAATCTGTCTATTTTAAGGTTTTCTGAGCAGCCCATCACAGCAGCAGTCTGAGATCTGCAGGAGTATATAAGGTTTTTTTAATTTTCTGAAGAACCTCAGAATCCTTGTCTGGCAATCTGAGAAACAGAACAGTGCTGCAGGGTTGCTTCTTACAAGCAATTTGACATACTGGGAGGAGACAAGAAGGCAAAATGTTGATGAGATGTCTCCTCACCTAACTTCTACTTTCAGTCAGTGTTTTGCAATAAACTGAATGGAGTATTCTGTAAAAATCTATTGAAAATTATGTTTAAAAAATGGTGGAGTTCGTGGCAGTTTCACATACACCCAAGTTTCCATTTTGGATGTAAATCGCGGTGGTTGTGTGCTTCCAACTCTTCTCCCAGGAGGTACTTTGACTGCTCAGCACTGGAGGAGGTTGGGCTTGTACTGCTTTTTATTACTTTTGAAATTAGCTCTTTTGAGTTTTCAGACTTGCTTTTTGAAGGTCAGTAGTTTAAATTTGTTGAAAAGGAGGTGAGAAGGCGCTTTTTCTTTTTTTTGGTTGGTTGGTTGTTTTTTCGGATTTTCAGTGTAACGCTCAGACCTGAGTGAGCAAAGCAGCCAAGCTACAGTATATGAACAGATCCCTAATCACTCAGTCTTGGCTGTACATTAAACTAGAGGTAGCCCAATTTGAAGAGAGGGGAGGGAAGAGGAGTATTTGTGAACAGTAAGGAAACAGGTACACATGGCTAAGAACAGGGAAGTGGAACGGGGTGAGGTGGGACTTTTCCATTTGGACAGCAGCCAGTTAGATCAGCTTAGTTCATTTTGTTAAGCTGGATTTCCATGGAGAAGTCTGTGGTTTCTCCTGGCTGCTGAGCTGAGTTGGTGTGTTGTGGTGTCAGACAAGCTTGAAGCTAGAGAAAGCTGACAGCAGGGTGTGTGTTTGGTATAGTAACCTGATGGACTGGCTCAGTTGCATCCTACATCATAATGTCAGTTTCTTGTAGATCACTACTGTATAGTGAGTCCACAAATGATCATTCTATTTCAGAGTTCCCCTTAATGTAATCTGGTAGACATTTCTCATGTGGTTAATTTTGGTAAACTTAATGTTATTATATGCAGATAATTCTTTGAAACTTTCCTCTTCTTCTGAATAGGTGCTGCAAAGTTGGTAGTAGTCGTAGCAATATTTTTATTGACATTTTATGTCATATCTCAAGTGTTTGAAATAAAAATGGATGCAAACTTAGGACACATATTTGGTAAGTGATTACTTTGTTTTCTCTGTCCATCTATTTATATTTATTTGAGCCACAATCAAGAGTATTGTATTAATTTTGCTTTAAGCTTGACTTAGACTTGTACATTTAAGAAGATTTCTGTGTTTATTTTTAATGTGTGTACTTGTTACTTTTTATATATGTTATGCATATATAATATATAATGTGTGTATTAAGTTATTTTCTGTATGAAATATTTAACCTACCCCGTTAATCAATATGATTCTTTTGCCTGCAAAGTATGCACAGTTTTACTTGCTTTTTATGTTTACTGATACAGTTGTAGTCTGGAGTTGTAAACTAGGCGACTTTAATGATCTTTCTGGAAATCTGCACTCTGCCTTTCTGCTACTTAAGCAATTCAGAATTTATGTTTTGAGTGGGCGTTTTTGCTTGCACAGGTACACTACCATATACAATTGAATGTGCAGTAATTAAAACAGGTTCTAGGCAGAAAAGGATTAGCAGCTGAGGTGACTTAGAAGTCCAAGTGTACATTTTGAACCAACTTTATCTTTAAAGGGACTTTTCACTACAAAAGACTAATTTTAGGTACGTAGGTAGGGTTCATGTTGTTTAACTCCCGATTACAGCAGCGTGAGCCGCCATCTAAAACAGTGACCAGAGGCATTTTTAATAATTGTTGAAGAGACACAGGTGTCAATAAGTATTACAGATGTATTGTGGATGTGTGTGTGATGAGATCACTTGTTTCTCTTCCTGTCCCCAGAAAGGGCATCATGAATGGTTGGTTCGGTTCAAATGCACCTGAGTTTCAGGCTTCCAGTGTAAGGTGAAGGGAACCCCATCCTAGTGAAACTCTAAGAAGGGAATTCATTTCACTTCAGTGCCCACACCTCCACAGATCCGTGGTGGCTTTGTATCTCCATGGATCTTTGTGTTAATTGGAGAGTCATAAATAAAGGCAGTGCTTCTAAATGTGATCCCTGATCACTTTCATTCTTCTACCATGTGAAGGTTAATGTTGTATATTGGAACGTAATGTTCAGATGTATTTGATATTTCATTTCAACCAACATGTTTTTATAGGGTTTTAAATTGAACAGAAAGGTTTTACATTTATAGGATATTTTATAGCTGATGACACTTTAATAGTAACATCTTGTAAAACTTTCTTTTTGCATTTCAGCTAGATCAGCACTGGATGCAGCTGCACGCCGTGAGTGTTCATATGCATTTGTTACTGCTGTGACTTGCTTTCACTAATAACAGAAAGACTTTTGAATTTTCATAGTAAAGAAAGTCTTAATTAAACTTTAAATGCAATCAGAAACTAATTTTCCTCTTTTCTTGATTTTTCTAAATTTCTGGTGAAGTCTGGGTTTTTTGCCAGCATTTCACTTGTAGTTTTGTCTTGTGGCTTTTGCTGACAGTGCTAGAGCAAGCAAAGGGGTGAGAACAAGAAGTAGAATAATGAGATACTACAGGAACCTAGGTTATTTTAAGCTGCTGTGAAACTGCAGATGAGATACTTACTGTTTGTCTTTTGCTCTTTTCCTTGAATTCCTTCAGAAAACTAACTGATATTTCTCTCTTAGCCTACCTGTGTCTCTAAAATCTTGTTTTATTTCCTGTTGAAAGCTACAAAACCTCCAAGATACAAATGTGGGATCTCTAAAGCTTGTCCTGAAAAGCATTTTGCGTTCAAAATGGCAAGTGGAGCAGCAAATGTAGTTGGACCTAAAATTTGTGTAGAAGATAATGTGTAAGTATTTTTGCCTGTTGACTCTAGTTATCTCTTTCAAATGCTGTCTTGGGTCACTTTACGCACAGAATCAGTAATTTAAATGATTTGTTGTAGGGTTTTGGTGGTTTTTTTTTGCCAGTGGTTTGACCACATGAAAAACTTATATTAACTTTATCTCTGATGAAGCACACTTAATACTCTGCAGTAAATGCAGAAATGTATGATGTTTTAATACACGCAAGATAGCTTACACTTTATTTTGGGTTTACAGACTCAACATTAGTCAGGCTTTGTCAAGTCAAATGCATGCTTGCCTCCAAGTAACTTGTTCTTGCGCCTCTAATAGTAATTCAGTGAATAGTTGTATTTTTAAGTAATTACTCTTGATGCTTCTAACTGAATATCACCAGCTAAAACTGTACTGTGGACTTGTCTTTTGCAAGTCACCTTTTAAATTATCCATAGTACCAATGTCAGAACCTATTTTCCACTTTTCTTTAAAGGATGCCTTCAAAAGGAAAAAGTAGTATTTTAATGATCAGTAGTTAGTTAATTGTGCTGATGTTAACTAAAGTTAATAAAAATAATTGTGAAATGAGGAAAGGAACTGTTTGAAACACAGTTTGGTCCTGAGTTTAAGTCCTGTATTTCTAATAACTGTATTTTTAACACAGTATTATCATACTCTCTAAAGTAACACTGTAAGATTAGTCTTGCATGATCTTAAAGATAAGCCTGTATTTTTAGCATTACCTCTAGCAATTAAGATGTAGTAAAATTGAAATGGGAGCTTTTTTCCCTGGCAACTAAACACATGCAGAGTGTCTTAACTTTGTTTTATTAGTAGAAGCACAAGCACCATTCAATTTTCAAGTCATTCTGTAAGGCCGACTTAGCCCAAGCTTCCGCACTTGTGTAGGAAGTGCGTTTGCAGTGGAGCGCCATGATGTCATAGGGGAGCACGCGCAGAGTGAGCATGAGCTCACCATTGGCACGTACTAACTAAAAGGTGCTCGGTTCTGCTTTCTGTTCTTATCATTGATTCGCTTCATGACCTTGGGCAGTCTTATCTAATCTTTCTGCATGGTATTTTCGTTGGTGTTACAGAACGTGCTAGCTTCTCTTTCTGGTTGCTAGGAAGCTTAATATCTCTGAAGACTTAGGGTGATTCACTGATAAAAAGTTGTAGGGGTACAAGTAATATTTTTATCTTCAGGATTGTAGGGGTACAAGTAATATTTTTATCTTCAGGATTGTAGGGCAGGTTTTTGTGTGGTGTTTTTCGGTTTTGTTTTTTTTTTTCTAAAATGTCTTGCTCACTGGTTAACTAAAAGGAGATTGTTGTTCCTGTCCAAAACAAACAAAAAAATCCTCTGCTGGATATTTCACTGAAGAAAGTAATGAAAAGAAAGTAGTAGCTGGCAAGAAATTCTCTATTCTTTTAATACTAGTGCACACCTTAGCGCACAGGTATGGGGAGTCTTAAGTCCGGTTTCCCTTGGCAAAAATCTTTCTGAATTCCTTCTGAGGAGAACTTGCAATGTCTATTTAAATGTCATGAGAAAATTTCATTAATTTTGTATTGTCTCCTGCTTTGTTCATAAGATGTTTGATTTCCCTTTCAAAAGTTCCTGTAACTTGTTGATTGTAAATTGTTGGAAGAATTCTAAAACTGATGAACGGCTGCCCCCCTGTGAGAAGACTGTCACGTTACAGCCTGTAGTGTCTGACAGTACACAAGCTGTCTCAAGTGTGTAAAGTAGTATCACAGATCTGTGAAAGAACTTATTTCCTCTTCAGTAGCACTTTTTTAATGATGACTCCTGCAAAATGCTTTTTTCTGATTACTTTGTATTCTTCTTCATACTTCCAAGACAAGGAAACAGGGACAAGTTTTCATAATTTGCCAATGATATTTACAATGTATGTTTTTTGCTGTGTCTTAAACATGAATATGTCACTTAATTTATGAGAACACTAAAGCTGATGATATAATTCAGAATGCATTTAATTTCTCAAATCTTCTTTTTAGTTATATAGATATTTTGGCATTAAATAGGAGTTCTGCTGTATAGAAGTTCAGTTATAACCTTGTTCCCTTATATTGAAAGGGCATAATCCAAGTTAGAAAAAAACATAGCATAATCAAAATATTAAATATTGTAGTTGCTACTTCATGGGCTTTGTAGAAGAAGGGGCACTATTGCTATACTTCTTTCCCAGCAACTTCTCTGTGCAGTTTTACTTCTTCTATTAAGAGGTCAATTGCATGTTTGTGCTGCAGTAACCTTATAGCAGAACATTCCACTACATTCCTTTAATATCTAGTACTTCTTGTATTTATATTTTCAGGAATTTTAAATACTTCTGGAGTTCCCTACTAACCAGAACTGAATTCTGTATTTCAGCAGAAAATTTCAAGTCTTCTATTTCAGAAGTTATTGAATTAGAGTTTTAATTTTAATCAAAATTTTTGGCAGATGGTATAACTTAGAAGACTAGCAGAGTAATATGGAGCCTTTCATCTCTGACTACTAGTTCTTTAAAACCGAAGTCACTGTACCTAGAGTTACCATTAACCGCTAGTCTTTCACGGCCTCTCTGAACTAGCTAATATTGAGTCTGTTCCTGGTATGGAGTTGTCTATTAAATTTGACATTCACATAAATTTTGGCTTCTGTTTTCATCCTGGATGCAAAAGAGAGCATCAGAGAGGAAGATTCTGTCATTCTTCTGTGATAGCCCATTTCTTGTTTCTAGCCCATCACTAAGGAGTCAGTGTGGGAGAGCTATGTTGCAGTCGTGTGTGTAAGGATGCAGTCCTTCTGAAGCGTGCCTTAGAACCAATGTTCAGACATGTCCTGGAAACTGTATGATCACAGAAGAAATGTGAAAAAAGTTTTGAACATAAGAGTCATACCTATCTGGAGCCCCTTTCTAGAGCAAACTAGGGAGGTTAAAGCAATCCTGATTGGGGTGCAATTAAAGCATGTTATAGTGTGAGATGTGTACCTATATGCTGATGCAGAGATGCTTTTATTGAATCCCAGCTGAAGACTTCTTCAGTATCTAGCTTCATAATATTAATGCTGGGATATTTGAGGCCTGGAGGCAGAACAGAGGTCTTTATACAATGCCCGTGAAAAGGTATGAGGAGGTCTCTAGGTTTCCTCTCACTGGAGTGGTACACCCATCATGGGCTGAGGCAGGACCCCACCCTAGCTAACAGTCTTGATGTTCCCATTAGCTCTTCTTTATAGCTTTTTGTGGCTTCCCTTTCACAGTGCTCTGTACTTTGTAGCTCCTTTGCCACTTTGAGTTTGGCCAAGTAATTGTTGTTAGATTGTGACAGTTTTGTTGGGATGTGTAACTTCTACAAGATGATATTCAACTTTTGTTTAGTCTCATCAGTGTATTAACTATTTTTCTTGGATTTCGGTTTCCTTGTTTCTTAGTGTGACGCTGCAATACTAATGCCTCTGTTCAGTTTGCTTTTAAATTAACACATTTTTGTTCATCATGTGCTTACAAAAAAGCTTAAAATGTTGGTTATGTGACTGTGCTAAGCCCTCAAGTTATTATTTGTTTCAGGCTCTTTAACTGTAAGGAATTTTCTTAAGTACATTAATAGCACTTTCTTTTTAGTGACAGTTTTAATATACACACATATTTTGAAACCAAGCTGATTAAGTAATCAAATGATCAAATAAAATGGATTCAACTGGGGACATTTTATCTACTGTTCTCAATTTGGTGGTGCCATAAGAGCATATAGATTAGTTCAAGGAGATTTTGCTTCATTTAAGTGCTCATGGACACGTGATCTTTCAGCTATATATCTCTTACAATTTGATCCTATTTAAAAACCAGAAACATTTAAAATCAGAAAATTGTCCTATTAAAAATAAAATTGTTTGTTTTGTTTCAGTTTAATGAGTGGAGTTAAAAATAATGTTGGCAGAGGAATAAATGTGGCCTTGGTCAGTGGTAAGTGACATTTTAAGTGAGCACATTGTCTTCATTTTCAAATTGTTTCTGAAATTTAACGTGAAATACTAAGGGATGGTGAAAGGCAAGCAATAAGAGAAAAATAATATTCATTCAGCATATTTATACTGAGATAATGTCAGATTTTGGCATTTACACCTTTTTTGTTAGAAGGTAAAAAAACTCAGTGCATTTTTATTTCTGAAAAGGTGTAGGAAAAATAGTAATGTGGAGTGCTGTGAGACGCATGCTGCTTATTTTGACTTTGTGTGTTGCCACCACTAATAAAACTTTGTAGACTAAATTCTTCTGTTGCTCTTCTCAGTGAAACTTATTTAACGATTCTGTTACTACATAGAAAGACCAGTTCATTATTTCTTAGCTTGAAATCAGTAAATTTGATTAGTCCATATCTATAGATGTTGCCCCTAAATACATCATGTTATTTAATTGTGTTCAGCATTCTTAATTTTCATTAAAACCAAACAATTTTACCTGTGTGTCACCTTGAAAGCTGAACTGAATGTCAGTACTGGCAGATTTGTCCTTAAACTGTAGGAAGCAATTCCGTGTAGCATTGAGGTAGCACTTTGTCATTTTACTGCAATATAAATTCACGTTATTTGCAGATTCTACTGAGGTTTACATCATCTAAAGCATGACTTGAATTATACTCACCCAATCCTATTTTGCCTTCCTAAATTATCTCAATCTGTTCAAACCCAAACTATCTGGCTTTGTATTATATGTCTGCCAGTCTTTCTGCTTCTCTTCCAAACTTTAAATGAATATATATATTAAGAAGAGAACTCTACCTTCCATCAAATACTGCCTAATTTTTTTTTTAAAGATAAATACGTGAAAGCAATTTTCTTTATTATTGGTTTTTGAGGGTGTGGTGTTTTCATCTTCTTTTATATTCCAATTGAAGTAAAATAAGAAGTTTGCATCTTCTCTCTGCCCCCTTACCTTTTCCTGTGCCTTTTCACAAACTACTGTGGTGTTTATGGAGCAGTCTTCATAAAGGACCATAGTAGTTGATGATTTATATGGTGTCTTCTACAGCACTTTCTCTGAAAGAGTAATTAAGAGGAGTTGGACATGTTGTTTGTAAAATAACTTTGGATATCTGATGACACCAAATATTTATTTTTCTCCAGGTAAAACAGGAGAACCGTTAGATGCTAAATTCTTCGACATGTGGGGAGGAGGTAGGTGCAGTTACCTTAGCTGGTTAGAGAGAAACAACTGAAATCCTGCTTGCCTTCTTTTTTTTTTTTTTTTTTTTCTCCCTTTTTTAAAAACAAACAAACAAAAACCCTAAAAACCAGCAGATGGTGGTTTTGATAGTTAAGGGAGTGTGCTTCACCTTTATAGTTGTGAAGAGAGTGCAACTTCAAAGAAACACAAATAGCTGGGGCAGGGAGGAATTCTATGATTAATCAAATGTGCTTTTTCCGAGTAGTTCTTACTAGTGGTTGTGTCTTTACACAACATGGATGAAACTCCATAAAATGAAAGAGTTCTCTCTGATGCAATTTATCTTTCTCCCACTTAAGAATATTTATAAATATACTTATAAATTTATAAAAATATCCTAAGAGGAATGTATTTGCAGGAAAGCATTGCAAGTGTTTAAATGTGGTATGGTTGCTTGTTGTTAAACAATTTTTTTTTTCCAGATGTGGCACCATTTATTGAATTTCTGAAGTCCATCCAGGATGGAACGATAGTGTTAATGGCAACATATGATGATGGTGCAACAAAGTATGGCATTGATTTATACAGTAAATATTGCTTAAACTTTTAAATGCTGTTTTATACTGAAAAAAAAAAATGCATTCTTTATCACACAATCACTTTTGATGAAGTTTTGATCTTCCAAGATGATGGATTTGAAACTGTGCTTTCAGTTTATTAGTTTTATAATCTCATTGATTTTGAGGACAAGGATCAAATTCAAACTAGCCAGGTGTAATGGGTTCTGTATATATTTACATAGAGGAGTAGTTTTGTGATCCTAACAACTCAGAAACAATGAATAGATATTAAATTACACTAATCGGGAGAAATATCCTGAGTGTTCTTTGAAAATATGAAAAAGCTGAAGATTAAGTGACTAATTAGCAATTGCTATATCAGTACACATAGTTGGGGTTTTTTTGCCCCACTGAGAAAAGATGATGGTGCAACAAGAAGACAAATAACGCATATGGTCAGTTGAATAAACTACTCACTCATAGATAAGAACGTATTTGAGTGTCAGGCATTGTAATTTTTTTAACTGTACCTTTATTCTTCCTGGCTGCTGAAGATGCTGTAGGTTTCTAGCTGCCCTCCAAGAATTTGTCCCCACCTCTTTTTTTTTTTTTCCCCTTTTAAATTTATGCTGCCAAGGATATATATGTTTTTGGAGGTTTGCTGTTTCTCCTGTTGCTGGTGGCTCATTCTGTCTTATGCTAGTAAATTCAGTTATGTCCAGACATACGAACAAGACTGTGAGAACGCTCCTTGGTGGAAACTGGTCTGTCTGTTTCATCCAGCACAACTGCAAGGCAGAGAAGTTGGTGGTTACAGGGGTGCAGAGGCCTTTCCCAATAGGCCTTGCCTGTGTCCATCCTTTTGAAGTCTGAGAGATTTACTAGTGTGTGCATGATAATTGTTGGCCTGAGTCTTTGGAATTGTTCTACCCTAAACCTGTTCTATTTATTAATGTAGCATAGCCTAAGAGGTTTTAGTTCTCTTTAACCATTGTTTCACAGAATCACAAATGTTAGGGATTGGAAGGGACCTTAAACCCCGCTGCCAGAGCAGGATCACCCACAGTAAGTCACACAGGAACACGTCCAGGCAGGTCTTG